ATACAGTCAGCCGCGTAGCTTTTAGCTCTCTTAATTGCAACTTTATTTAACGCGCCGGTTCGACCAATCCACGGACCTCGCACGGCGGGAACGCGCTGTCTTAATAAGCGTCTTATCGCGTATCGTATGCGAAGAAGAAACGTCTGAGAAAGGAACGGACGCGAACCGTGGATAGTAGAAAAGCCTGAAGTGAAATACACGAAGAAAAGTGCATTGTCTTTCTTTTAGATGAATCACAGTCGAGGATGTAGGTACGAGTTGCGTGTTAGTATTGTATCTAACTATTGTATCTATTAATACGAACGACAATTGTAACTGTTAACAGAAAACTGGATTGCGCGAGTTTACGAGTTAAAAACATCTTTATTTATATATATATATATATATATATATAATTTAAAAACAAACAAGATTTAGATCGATAAGAGAGGTTTACGAATATCCAATTAGAGCTTGGTGCGTCTGTTATCTCGATTGCGTTTATCTCGCAGTATCCACATTAATGGCATCAAGTTGCAATAATAGCGAAATAATTCTCAATACAGTCATTGACGAACAACTGGGATATCTGCACGTGCGACATCTTTTCCGTTTATTAACGAAGCTGACCGATTCGAAGAATGCCATTTCTCTTAAAGATGAGTAGAAATTTTAATGCAATTAAATCGCTTCTAATCCGTAGGTTATTCGTCATTGATTTTAATGGCTTAAGTCAGTTTATTTAGCGCGAATTGGATGATTCATTTCGCGATCCGCTGCAATTTACTACATCAGATATCGATTGATATCAGGACGTATTAAATGCGCGTTACACATCTTATTCGATATATCAATATCGCGAATCATAAAATCGTTCGTTATCTTATTAATTAATTATATCAATCTAGTAATCCGTTTCTATCTCGTTGCCAATTATTCGATAATTTGATTTGCTTTAGAAGCAATCCCGAAAGATGTTGAATGATACACACATAAACAAGATCTAGTAAAACAATTTAAAAAAAAATAATAGCAGTATATACCTGTTTAATTTGTGAATATAAACTATTGGTTTCATAATTATAGAAAAGTCTTTTAATTAAATGTCCTTATTTTCAGAATATAGGCATGAATTCTCCAAAATGTAACACGCAATATATTTGACATTTACAAAATATTTTCTTTTATTATCAACACGTATCGACGCGAATGGATATTAATTACTCATAATCCTTACTTGTTACAGACAAGTTTTCGCTCATCCTTTTTCACAGCTGCATAATGTGGTAATTGCACGTCGCGCTAATCTTTCGAAAATTACTTCGGCAAATTTAAGGAGAGTGACGATGTGGAAGGTATTCAGTCGCGCGAATAACGACCGTCAAATCGTTTTGAACCGTGCGCTAAACGATTTGGCCATAAATCTACGTTGCGAACTAGGTCCTCGATGTATAGATTAACCAAATCGAATAGTTGACATAGTCAAATTTATTCGCGCGAGCAAATGTGCGAATAATTCTGTAGCAAGCTATCGCTAATTAAAGTGAGGAAATTCATTTGCAATTTACGTTAAATACCTGTAAACATCAATTATCAGCCGTAACGTTATTATCAATTTTCACTCAGGGAGAAAAGTTAAAACATTTTTATATAAAATAAAATACTAGAAGAGTAATGAAAACAAATAAAGGCGCTTATATAAGACGAAGTCATGGAAAATTGTCAAGAATAATGATTTACGTAGAAAATATGTATAATAAATAATCTTTTTGAATTGTAAAATGCATAAAAAAAGCTCTAAAGAGACGAAAGAAATTGAAATTACTCTAGTAAAAATATATTTTTTTAAATTAAAAAACATCAAATATATGTATAAATAATTTATGTACGCGTTGCTGTGACGTGCATTCTAGAAAGAGAACATTTGCGTCAGAACTCTCTATTGTTTACCGAATATGCTTTCTTATGCGCAATTATTTCCGTTTAAGAAAAGAGGAACGCGCGTAATGCGACGCGTGCAAAAAGTGGTGGAAACCCGGAATTTCGACTGGTTCACCTTTTCAGAACCCGTGACTGTGATCTCTGTTGCATTCGCGGTTTATTCAATGCACATGTGTCTCTATGTGCAGGCGCCATACAAGCTCAAGCGTCTCTGACGGATAATGGCAAGATGAATGCGAAATGGCGAACGCAAAGGCACCTTTCGATACGCGACCTTGACTAGAGATCGCTTTTTCTCTTCGATTCGTCATTCCGCGCCATTGATGATCGCATTGGTCTCGCGCGAGGAGCGGTTCGTCGTTTCTTTTTTTTTCTTTTTTTTTTTTTTTTCTTTGAAAAC